GACTACCACTACGACTACTACTACTACTACGACTACTACTACTACTACTACTACTACTACTACTACTACTACCTTTTAGCAGCTTATTCAAGGGGAGTGGACCTCATGCATGGTACCTCAGACCTTCTTGACCTTTTTAGGGGGTCATTCATCCAGGGTTGACATAACAAAAGCTTCGCGTGCGTGGCTTGAATGCGTGGGTTCATTATGCGTGTTTTTCATTTGCCATCATAAGCGTGGTTCACCGCCGCTGATGCGTAGAGTGCTTACATGAAAAGTAAGTGTTGCATCCGAATTTCACTCAGGCAAATGTACTCGACTGATTTAACCCAGTGTGTCCCAAAACCATTTGACTGAGTAGTTGGACTGCAGTCTCAAGTTAGGCTGGGCTTTCAGTATCCTCCAACCTATCCAGAATTCAGTCCATCTATAATCCATTTCTGAAACTTCCACGGTGTCATGTTTGGTTCCACCGTTGCTACCTATACAAACAACACTTCCGATCGAAGCCCCGCTTTCCTTTCCATCAAATGTTGTTTGTTAAAAATGTCTTTCCTGGTCGAGGTCTATCTCACGTCAGCCCACCTGGCGATGCTGTCCAGTTCGATCGCCAAGGCAGATGATGCAGATGGGGATTGGCATTGGTTTTTCACTACGGCCAAGCTTCAGAGATTCCTTTGTAGCCGTCAGTTGTGAATCATGAGTAAGAATTATACCGCACCCAAAAACCATAGTGATATAGAATCATAATCTGCAACATCAGTTACTTAGCAACTTAGGTATTTTGATCCCTTGGATTCACAAATTTGCCTAAAAATCCAACACGGACACCCTTTGGCAACCCAGCCGTCAGGTTTCACCTATGGCTGATTATTGAGTAATTGTTTCACTTGAAAAAAAAACTAACCAGTGTGAATAGAGGTGAGCTATTGATGATATTTTGCCTTTGAATTAGGGACTACGTCCTGGAGCGTTTGGAAGTCCTGGTGTTCTGTCTATTTGGAATAACATGGAATAACTTAACCATGAAAAACCGCTTGTGGAAGTGTTTTTTTCATGGCCCTTTCAATTGCCACCGCTAGTGAAAAACCGGTCCATTCCGGTCCATCGGTCGATTGTTCGTTCACACCGGTCGTGGCCGTCGATAGGCCGAAGTGAACAGCCCACAGTTCTCTTCCTTGCTCACGCGGGAACTCAAGGCACTGAGCGTTCCAACGGTGGACGTTGGGTTCGAAAGGTCTGGGCTTCCTGGACAAAAAAGGTCTGGAAACTGAGGGAGTGGTCACAAACCAACATGGGTGATTTTCCATTTATATGGTGATAATGATATGTTAATCATGGGTTTTCTGGATTGTGAGGGCAAATTGTTGTCGAAGGCCAGGAAGCCGAGTAAGCTGAGTTGGGGTCTTTTGTCCAGTGGTCCTTGACCCACTGACCCAAGCGAGTGGGGAGAGATGTTGCGAGTTCTAAACGATCTGAGTTGCTTGGGTCAGGAAAGGTGTCTTCAAATCGTCTTGGAGACGTAGTTCGTTGTGATAGCATGTTTATAGCCAGTACATCTGCAGGAGATGGATGCTATTTCGCCCGCCCCATGTCAATCTACACACCCACATAGCCATCCATTTGTTCAAGTCAGCGGACCTCGCTCAGCGTTCGGTCGGCCTCTCAAAGGCCTTTGAGGAACCTTAACACAGTGATGTACATAGACATGGGTCAGTCAGTCGGCACGAGGTGCTCACCAAATCAGATTCTTCCAGGATGCCATTGGCTCAAATGTTCATAACTTGAAAGGAACCTGATTGACAGAGACCCAAATCAGGTGTCCGTCCATCCCCTTCAATGAAGCGGAGTGAGGGCGTCAAAATGTGCTGTTCAGTTCAAGTCTTGGAATGCAGTCAGACCTGGCTACAAATGAGACCCCTGCAGACCACCTATGAAACTAGATCAAAAAGAACAAAAAGGATCAGCCTTTTAGTCTACAGTACTTCAATCACCCGCAATGTATTGGCCTTGCGAAGAGGCCCCTTTCTTCTTGGGGAACACACGGTTGTATTTGGATGCTGGAACAGTTGTGATTCCTTGCTTAGATACTTGTTCGCTAAAGTCATAGCAGTCAATAGCGGTCGTTGCATTTCAATGAATACGAGCCATTATGAGCCTGCCTTTGTTCCCTTCAGGCCTTGTTTCCTTTTCCTAAGTGACCGGCTGAGTGTTTTCCTACATCGGAGCGATCAACAGACCCGCATAGACCCACATAGACCCAAACTACCCACCGTCCTTCAGTCGTTCGCAGCGGTTGACTTCGCGGCGAAGCGGGGACTTTGCGGCGCCCATGCGGTTCATTGTCTACCTGTTCTGGAGATGGGTCACTGGCTCTTCAGTGGTGGGGCGTGTTTTTTTTTGCAGATGAACATGTCCATGACGTGAGCTGGTTCATTGGGAGGTGTTCGAGGATCCCCAGGGAGAGGCAATGTGCGCGGTGAAGCACAAATCCCAACATGTAATTGGACCTATAATCATAAATACATGCATAACTAATATGCTTATTATATGCATGTACATATATATATAGAGAGATCCTCTAATCTGCTGAGCTCGTATGTTGCACTCGATAGTTGACAGGCACAGGGTACTGTCAGACTAAGAGAATTCAGAATTTCCAATGCTGTTGGACTTGGCCCCGATGGGCCAGCGATACTTTGCATCACTTGTTTCTCTTTGCCAAAGAATTCCGGCTCACATGTCCGGTCACAGGGGTCGTTTAGACAGTGCTCTCCGGTCTGTGGGAGCTCACACCGACCTCCCCAAGTGAAGGAATCGAACCGCCAAGAATACAGGCAAGGAGTAAAACGTGATGCTTATTCAAACCTTGAAGATCATGGGAGTATAAACGACCCTTATTCTCCCGATAGAAAGAAGAGAATGGTTTGTTGTGCTTGGGTTCGAAAGGGCAGTTGTGGGTGTTGACGAAGAACCACGTTGGTTTTGCGGGCATCATCCTTCACTCGGTGCGTAAGGGCCAGCCTTGGTTTAAAAGTGCACTAGCTTGACGCGTCAAAACCAGTCAAACAAATTAAACAAAGTAAAACATGACCCATCGGTATGAGTTCCTCTCCCAGTTGGTTGACTGTTTTGGGGCGGGGCTGCAGGCGAGAAAGATCTTGCAATACCTCAATGCCAGCGACTACATTGCTGGGACCCTGGCGATTTCAGCAGCTTGGTTAAAATTACGTGTTGACTGAGAGGATCTGAGAGGTAAGACAGAAGATGGATGTTTTTCCAATCCAAACCGGCCCTGGCCAGTTTTGGTCCATGGTTTTTCTAGTGATGTTTGGATGTTCCCAAACTTTACCCTTTATCTCGGCTATCATGAAAGTGGATGGGTTGGCCCTTCCAAGAAGGAATTCTCTAAAGGAGTTGGGGTGTTCATACCAAACCATGATTCTTGGATGGAGGGTGTGCAAACAACGCCTGGATTCCAGAGCTCATCGATCTCCGCGTACTATAGCTTTGGGAGTGTAAAATCAAGGCTGGCGTCTTGGGATTCCGCAGCTTATTTCCAAGCACCTCTTGGTGGAACAGCCTGGGTTCTCGTAGCCAAGTGAGCCGCAGTCCAAGTGTCATGGCTTTCGACTCAGTTTAATAATTTACCAGAAAAGCATCAAAGACATGTCCACCATGTTTCAGCGGTCTGCTAGTAGTATCCTGTGCGCATACCCTTTCCGCACTGTTTCGACTAAGAACTTCAAAATTGAGCCCTCAGCAAAGCTGTTTCAACATGCGCATGTTTAAAACATTTTAAAACCAAACTTCATCTGCCTGCACTCAGTAGCTCGAGTCAGCCAAAACAAGTACTTGCCAACCCACCATTCGCCAATACCGGCGTGATCCAATCCACCGCAGCTCCACTCGGGCGATCCGCTCGCAGCTCGCAGCTGCGATCTCGCAGCTCCGCTCGGTCTGAGGCCATGGGCGTCTTTCGGGATGCCTCGCAACATCTCATGAAGATGCTCTGCCACGCGGAAGAGACGACCGACCGCGGTGGGACGCGCGAGGAACGGCGCTCCGAATCGTCCCAACTTCAGGGGCCTAAACAACGAATCGGCCAAACAGGGCGGAATCGGGGACCGGTACGAGCGAACTCGCGAGTGGCGAAAGCAGGACATTCAGTGTGGCCCCCCAAAGACCAAAAACAGTTTGGACCGCTGGAGATGAGGACAGTGAGTGAACCCCATTCCGGGGTCAGTTCAAAACGAAGAAGAACGATCCAGGAATCCAGGAGCAAGACTAAGTGGTGTTCTTCGAGGGATTTCAGTTGCTTCATCAGATTTGGATTCAGGGATTCAGCAGCAGGGGGGTTGGACTTTAAAAACAGGTGCGGGACTACGGAGCCAGCACCAGCACGGAGCCAGCACCGGTTCGGTTTGCCCTAGGTGACTGGGCTGTGCGCAGGCTTTGGGCCTCCGTGCGGCTGCAGGAGAAGGAGACTCCAGTGAAGTGAAGGAAGAGGGCATAAGAGGGCCCAAAGGATTTAGTTGCTCAACAGCCTGGTGGTTCCCAAGTGATTCCCAAGTTCCATGGTACTTTTAAACTCTTGAAGATTCTTGAGGATAAATTTGCTTACTATCCAATTTGAGCGGGCTCTCTACCCAGGAGGCTTACATAGTGGTGTCTCTGACAAGAAGGCGTGTGTGATCTTTCATTTTGTGAACTGCGCCCACCAAACTTCAAACCCGCAATGCTGTCCCTGGCAGGATCCATAAGCCATCATAAGCCTCAGCCCTTTGTACCTACTGTAGCAGGGCCAACCAAGTGATCTGTAAAAAAATCCTGCAACACTGGGAAATCACCTGACACAAACGCAATCTCGTGTTTTCACTGTTCCATCGATTTGCAGGGATTTTCTTGGGGGTCCTCGTCCGTTCGTTGAACGTTGCTGCTCTTTTTCCCACCAGTTCAACGGGAAACCGCGGTTCCCGGCACAGGATGCTGACCTGGTGATGGCCTGGCTGCGCGAACGGCCCGAGGTCAACGACACGGCCAAGCTCTGGCTCTACGCCCGGCGCGGGGAGGGCAAGAGCACCAGCAGCTCGAAACGGCACGTGTCGCGTTGGTGATGAGGCCAAAGGAATGTGGGAAGAAGTGCTTTGCTGATCTATATAATTGATTATTCATGATGGCTCAAATAACAAGCCCGGACTTGGACTGTAAACTTCTTCATAGGTTTTGGGGGTTTATGGGGGGTTATTAATCAAGACATTCTACATTGGGATGCAAGTAGGATGTAATTGTGAAGGATGTATGTTGGTGATTTGTAGCCAGGTGCGGTGCTCCAAGTGACCAAGAAGTTGTTTGATAAAGAGCTTGCAACTGTCATTTGTATGGCACTCAGGTTCGTTTGTGATCCCTGATGCTTGGGCATTGAGTGCTCTGTAGGAATTGTCCTGCGTAGCTTTGTTTCTGGCGACAGGTCAGAGGATATAGTATAGTCCACAAGAAAAGAGCAGGAATTTATCTTGGGAGAACAAGGAGCCCTTCAAGTTAAGTAGATATGGTATACTGACTGTAATTAATATATATATATATATTATTATATATATATAAGTAATCTTGTCGGGCATGGCAGTGTCAGGCCTGGTCTTTGCGACCCAGGCTTTACGAAATACTGTAGATGAACAGATACTTGGGGAAAACACCCCAAACAGGTTCTTCAACAACCAGTATGATTGTCATCGATTGTCCTAGACCTCAGACGTCACACATAAATCTTTCTTGTGAAACCAGTATTTTTGTTTGGTAGATTTACGGTAAGTCGATGTCAAGAACTTGTTGCCAAAGGACTTTGCATCCTAAGCTTGACATTTACATATGTTGATAAAGTATCTTAGATATTCAAATTATTCAATGACTTGTTGCATTCTTGTGGCACGCCAGCTCAATGCAGTACTCCATGTATACCTGTTCTTTGGGCTTTATCCAGCGTATCCAGCCACCCCTTTAAGCACTGAGGCTACGAGTACGAGCCAGAGCTTTCCGTGACCAGTCGCATCCGGCAGCCCGGCAGATGCGAATGGTGAGCCCCTATCGTTTGATCATGTTCGATTCATGTTTGATCGAAGCCGCAGTGTGTGTTTTTTTTGGGGGAAACGAAAGAAAAAGTATATCATATTATATCATTTGTTTTTAGAATCACGGCGAGTTTGATAGTTTTGTTAACAGCTATATATGGGCTAGTCAAAAGGATGGGCGATGTGTATCAATTGAATGGTTTACTGTAATTCAGAGAGCATGAAGACTCACTATGTAGACGGATCATCGGATTGGCACGCATGTCGGTGAGGTTGCTCGTTGTAGACACAGTATTGTTCGCGTCATTTGAATCTCTGAAGGTTTTGTCCTCGTCGCAGGGTTTGGGAGTCATGTTCTGTTCAACTGTGCACATTCCTCTTCCATGAGCCTGTGAAGATGCTCTTCAGGTGTCTAGTTTGTCCCGAACCCTGAAGTGTTTGTACCATCCCAAAACTTGGAGCTGGTGTTACTCTATCAACGCTGGTCCTTTTTGTCCACAGAAGTCATTGGGATTCGCTCTCAATCCTCAGCCATTGGCAAGGTGCACGAGGAATGGACGCAGCCAGTGGATTTGGATCACCCGGGACGATCGCGACAGTGATGGGAAGAAGGCCAGTTGCCAGCCATGTGCGGGAAGATCTCCACGTCGGACAGCATCCCCCTAGCGATGCACTTGTTTCTACTAGCTTCTTGTTACTACTAGTAAGGCACTTGTTACTAGTAGCAATGCACTTGTTTCTACCCCTTAAAAAATGGTTGACCTGGTGTTGTAGTCTAAAGTTAGTAAAACGGTTTCATCGAATCACAGGGATCCTTTGACCTTCCAACATGGACCATGGGTTTCTTTCGACAGCCGTGCCCACCGGCCCCAACCCCCGTTTCGACTGCCCAGGCCACCGTGTCGTTCTTGGGCCGTGACAAGGAGCGGGACCGAAGGTATGGGACCGGAGTGTGTTTTCGGCAGTTACGTGTGCGATGGACGAAACCAGAGGGGGAGCAGTGCAGTTGACACTTTAAGGTTTGAAAGAGGTAAAGTCATTGAAAGCTCTGAGACCTGACCTGAGAGAGCAAGTATCCTCAGATATCTTAATCGATAGAACATGATAGAACACTTTTTGGCGTGAAAGTACTAGTACTAGTGGTAGTAGTAGTTGTTGTTGGTTTAATGGTTGTAGTAGGAGTAGTCTTGGTAGTGGTAGTAAGTAGGATGTAGGAATTTGGAAGTTGGAAGTTGGAAGTAGGAGTAGGGCCAGTAGTAGTAGTAGTACTACTACTACTAGTAGAAGAGTAGGAGTTGGAGTAGGAGTAAGTAGTGGAGTAGGAGTAGGAGTCGGAGTCGGAGTCGGAGTAGTAGTATTAGCAGCAGCAGTAGTAGTAGTAGTAGAAGTAGTAGTAGTAGTAGTCGTCGTCGTCGTCGGCTTAGTAGTCGTACTATAGTATCAGTTACTAATTCATAAAATCGATCTATGTCATGTGGTATATTGTGCGACGTGTAGCACATGCAAATGTACGACAGTGGCCTCGAGAGCCTTAACATGTTGTGTGGTAAGGAATCTAAAGACCTAGGACCTAGAGATTGCAAAGCTGATTCCCTTTTGTCGCATCCAGGTTCAACTAGCAGCGTTTCCTGTGAAACAAATTGGTTGTATGATTGCAGCCTCAATTGCCTCACATGTGTTTCTGTGCTACGCTGATTTGTGCTACGCCAACCCCACGGAAGGCCCTGCTCGAAAGCATCCTGGAAGAAGGAAGAGAGATCCAACGACAGAAGCGCGAGCGGCTTGTCCAGGTTTGATGTGACTTTTGACCCACAAATACCTACAGACTACAGATAGATACAGGTTTAATCAGGTTTATAGGTTATTTTGATGTGCTTTGTGTGTAAATATATAGTTGTAAACACCTAACTATACAGTGTTATATATATACAGGTGTAAATACATTTGTAAATACTAATTGATGGGGTTCTTTACATCCAATGTGTTCTTAGGGAGCAGCTAGGTAGGTGAAAAGAAAAACCATCGTAACATGTATGACCATGTATGACTAGAATAACACATGTGTGGGCCAAGATGTTCAGCGGCTCTTTGGACCCTGTGTAGCCGCATATGGATGCTTGGAAGGTGTAACCCGCAGTGTTAGAACCACTTCTTAGAATCTGTCGGAAATTGGAGGCTGGGCGATGAATTGTAGCTAGTTAGCCACAGGCAAAGTCTTAGCCTTTAGTATTCATATGTATTTATGTAAAGCTGGCCCTAAGGACCGAGTGAGAATTTGCACAGGGCTTCCAAAACGAAACCAACGAAACCGCGGAAAACCAAACACGAAGCTTAATACCAGATAGGACTAACCCATTTTTTGTATATTCGAATGTCACTGAGTACCTACACAGGTTGCCTTTCTGATTCGGTTCCGATTCCACCCTCACGTTCGCGCCTTAAGCGGGAAAGACGGAAAAAAGAGATCCGATGTCTCACGAATGCCTCGGGTTCATTTCGAAAATTCTGGTATCAAGACTGGTTTCCAGTCAGCTGAAATCCAACAGCACCCATCCAATTAGAAGGAGATCACCTTTGGTTTGCTCAACAGAACCTAGCAGTCAGACGACTTCCTGGTTGTTGATGGAAGATGCACATGGGGACAGCTCGACAAGTCTCAAACGATACATTTAACGATATATAAAGGATACTAAAAGTGTTTGTCATGTTAGAACGTTTTTCAGGACTTCGATTTCTATCTACAGCAAGTCTGTTACTGCCTTCCCTTGGTCCCAGGAAATTCCTCACAGTGGTTCAGGTGCGGGACGTTGAACGACGTGTGCGGTCACTCCCTCAAAAAGACACGGTCGCAGCATGCTGGCCGCAGCAAAACTGGAAAAACACCTGCGACCAAAATTGTTTGAGGGCTTTTGAGACCAACTCCTTTGTCCGTTTTCCTCTCCGGGTGGGATTACTTATTTATAAATTAAAGATTACAAAGCCCAGGGATCGGAAAGGGCTCCCTTTTCTCGGGCCAAGCAAGGTCTTTTTGGTGACATCAAACTTGTAAGGCCATTTTAAAGTGTTCACCAAGAAATCAACATAAATAAACTTGCTGTATATAAATCAACTTGGACGGAAATGATTACATGCTTGCGATTTCCAGACATTCTCCAAATCACGGACCCCGCATGGAGAAGAATTCGGACCTTCTCCAACAAAAGCACAGCTGGAGCCACAGATGCGTTAAAGCATAACATAACCTTGTATGGTGCTGGCAACAGCTTCATTCACCGATCCAAAGGAGGTTGGGAACGTCTTCCCGATACGTCTCCCGCCGCCTGCGGGGAGCCTCCGTCGGCCCGCCTCCGCCGGCATGTCGATCTTCCTGGGAAACCCAGTGTCAGAAACGCATGGTTGTTCCATCACTATTTATACAGAGACCAAATGGCCTAAGGGGTCGAGTGGTCTATTTTCCTTCTTCCAAGGGATCTTTGGGGGGTGTCCTCATTCTAATACACATCCAAATGGTTGTTCCATGTTGTTCCGGCAATTGTCCGATCATCCTTTGCATTATGAAGTGGGGACTGCAGAGTTCTGAACTGTTTCTGCTTGGGACTGGGCTTTGAGCCCGGTTCATGTCCCACTAGTCTATTTTTTACCTGCATTCTCGTGCGCTACACCGGCCTGACTGGCGGGTATGTGGTCGGCAGCACCGTGGCACCAGCGGAGCTACATATGTCATCCGCTGGTCGTCTCACTTGTGAAGCCATCCATCACTGCGCGGCTTCACGGGCATGTTTGTTGGTGATGAAGACACGTTGTTTGTTCTTAGCAGAATTCAAGATGTCGGAAGATCCAGTGGCCGCAGAGCACCTACTGTATCAACAACAGGATCCAGGGTAGTTTCTCCTTGTTGCAAATCCTCTTGTCCTCGCACATGTCCGCCCAAATGTTTGGAGGTCTATGACTTTGGAAAGGAGCATGGCTTGAATTGGCTACACCCTCAGGAGCGAAGAAGACGAGCTGCTCGAATCGTTTCTCTTGTGTGAGAAGACCCTCTGGTGGTCTGGTCTGCCGGATGTAGCAATGGCAAGGGAACATTATGTGCACTGAGACCAAGGCCCGAGCTTTGCATCGAATACCAGGAACTAGGAGATCCTTTCCTACTGAAAGGTGAATATTTTTGTTCTATCGAAAGTTCATAACTTGATTAGAGGGCGGCGCTTGTTTCTAGACAGATACACAACCTGACAGCATTAGCATCCACCATCAACACGCGTCCCGAGCAAGCCAGCCAGGCCCTCTTGATGGCAGCATGCTCCAGTTGAATTGAATGAGTCCCCTACTCTCAACCAGAAAGAGTCAACCACCTTGCATATTCAAGGTCGGTTCAAGGTGATCGTTGCGTGTTCCATCCTGTTTTATTTGGAAATCCTTCAGAATGTAATCATCTGTACAATGATACAATCTACGTCGATTCATTTATTATGCATTGATCAACTCAACCTTTTGGCCCAATTCCTGGCCAAAAGCCCCCCAAAGCCCGATGCCTCCGGCCGAGACAGCGGTCGTCTTCCGCCAGGACAAGGACCGGAAACAGCCGGGCCGCTCGATTTCCTCGGTGGTCTTGCCCAGACACAACGCGCAGAGCAGCATGGACCAGGCTGAGGCGATCCAATCACTCCCATCATTGCCGGTGGTGCTTGGAGGTGTGAGTATTACTGGTAGAAGATTGATGAAGATGGAGATCTTAAAGATCCCCGGTTACAAACTAGAATGTCTGTGGTGTGGCATCTCCTTGATGCCAAAAAATGGACTGATGTGTTGGAATCCCATCTAGTGATCAACATGCAAGACATTGTAGCCGTATTGTAGCCTTTAATTCAGTATGCATCCGAACATGAGAGAACCTGATGGACACTGGGCCTTTTATCGATTTGTTTGATCAATCATTCTACATCAACTACAGTATGTTTTCAACTTGTTGGGAACTGTTGTGTGGTTTCTCCATATTCCACGAGCCCATGCAACGAAATGCGTCAAAATGATCATGGAAAGTGAAGCAGGAAGTCTCATCCGAGCGAACAAGGCAAGCAGCCCTGCCAAACAGTTTCGCAATCCGAGACACTCACATCCAGGCCTTGTTGGAGGATGCCCGGGAGTTTCTGGCCTCCGAGGCCTGGTATACGGAGCGTGGCTCGGCGGCGCATTGGTTTCTTCCGGCTTCATAGCTTGGCCATGTGGTGTTTGGAGGTTCCATGACTGGTGATGCCAGCTGCCTCCGCTGCCTCTCGGGGAGAGCTTTTCCACGAAGGTTCTGCATGCGCCAGCTAAGCGCAAGCTGCAACAGAGTTTTCTTCCACTGGGCGTGTGACTCAAAAGATCTCAACATGGTACAAGGCTTTCGAAGGTAGTAAGGCATAGTATACGGCTTATAAAACCACACCTCCATGAAAACTCATGGGCTAGCGGCTTGGGACGTTTCAACTTCACCTCCGAGATCGATCGCTCTTTGCTAGTAAGGCTTACGGAGCCCCGTTCGTAGCGTCCGATCGCTCCGTTCGTAGCGATGCCCTTTGTTACTAGTAGCACATATATATACTAGGCCCAGATGAGATGGGACTTGTAAAATGTACGTCGCCAACCACCAGTCCTATCTCATCAGCGTGCAACCATGTTTTTAGAGCTTCCACAAATCCCATCTCATCAGGGAAATCAAGCAAAACTATGCAAAGAGAGAATCACTAGAGATCACTCCAGGTGATCCGAGGCCTTGCATTGTTTGGGGGTGATGAGGTGGTGTCATGGGAGTTGTGTCATGTTTGTGGGAGCTTCATGCCAGGGCATCTGGCCCATCTGGCTGAGCTCGTAAATCCAAAGTGCTACTGCAAAAACAAGTTTCAGTGGCACGTACAAGTGCTTAAAGCGCAAACTGACTTGAAGAACACAGCAGAAGGCACGGGCAGGGAAAGAACAGAGCTTACTTCTTTCTATCTGCTGCATGCAAGGTTTGATGATTTGCTTTGTTTACGATAAATACTTGGGACATATGAAAATCACATTTGCCAGGACACTTCAGCAGCTACCCCCACCCCCCACCCCCCCAAAAAAAAACATGTCCACAACCCACAACTCCTATCTCATTGCAATTTGTCTATGGAAGACGCCTGTATTTTGCACATGTGAGATAGGACTAGTGGCCCCAGAGTCCCAACTCATTTTGGGGCACTAGTCCTATCTCTTCTCAGCCTAGTATAGTAGTTTCTTGCTTCTAGTATCGATGGCCTCCACCTAGTAGCTTCTACTGGATAAGGGTGGCACGTCATCCTGAGGAGTAAGGAATACTGCTACTTCTACAGGGGTGGTAAATTTGCCTCATTCCCTACTTTTTCGTCGCAGGAAGGGTCTTTGAACGAAGAGCGGCAGAAACGCTGCCTCGATCCGCAAATTGAGTTACGAAAACGGCGCTAACAGCGAACAGCTACAGAATGGTTTGGAGCAAGGCACTTTGAAGCTCATGTGGCTCATTTCACCCGACGCCCTAACTCACCCTGGTACGGAACGCCCTACCAGCTCAGGGTGAGTCTATGCTGGTCGCCTCTGTGGTCAACCAGGGTCCCACGGTCTCCACAGACCACCCACCGGAACCATCACCCGAGGTGGAATCCCCTACCGCAGGGGCTACTTGCTCTATGGCGTGCCGGGCGGTGGTCGCTGGACCAAACAAGTTAGACTGCCTCCGGCCATCCTGGTGCTGCGTCACCCCGGTGGGGGGGGAACTAGTTTGGATCCAATATGATCCAATATTCCGCCGGCTCTAATTGATCTCCAATTGATTGATCTAATGATTCTTCGTAACCGGATGATTAAAATTAGTTGATCCTCTCACCCAAATCTCCGGAGACGATATCTGACTGGCCGCTCTGGGCCCCAAACACACGCGTGAGAATTCAGCATGTGGTCTTTCTGGGCCGGTTGAGTCCCGACACTCTGGGGTTCTCAAAGAAAACATCCATCAAACGATCAAAGACTAAGAGATCTTGACCACTCAACCTCCTCGTGCAGGTTAGATCATCACCAGCCCGTGGTCCATATCCTGTCAGGTCGTACCATGGCGGTGATTCATCAGACCATGGGAAGAACCACCAACCAATATCAACCAATCCTTTTTCAAAGCAGCTTTAGTATTGGAGCGGTTTGTGAACCCACAAAGATTGAGGCCGCAGGCGCGCAGGCAAACCGTGGTGCGTGGTGGCAGTACGTGAATCGTGGTCATGAGCAATTCACTGATGTTTTTCTGCAGACGAAAGCATTGGTTCATTTTTTTTGGGTTGCTCACCGGGTTGACGAACGCATTCTTTCATCATTGCTTCGTTGGGCTTGAGGCAAGAGCTCACTCATCATGGCTGTGGCCAGTGAGCTTCGACTGCCCATCTACGTGATGAGCAACTTCGACTGCCCATCCCGGATGGGTCGCAGTGGATCCGATGTAGGTGAACACAAAAGGAGCTGAATGGACTACCAATGTCAACCTACCATGGTGATTTTGGAGGATTCAGGTTGGTCTTTGAAAGGCGTGATGAAATGGTCTTTGGACCGGTGTCCCATCAATTGGATGATTTGGATGGTTGAAACCACCACATGCAGTTTGGGATGGAGCCTTCAATCTACTGGGGAACTCGCCAAGCTCCTGTGTTGGTTGGTGGAGCAAGTATTGTTTTTGTCGAGGGCGCTGTCAGGTGGTGCAAGAGCCAGTAGGTACACCTACACGCACCTGGATCAATCTGCAGCTGAAACTTGGATGGCGTCACCCAAAGCTTCATGAGATCGTTGCATATCGTTTCTGGCATAGATTGCCTTGACGAATGTCAGTGGCCAGTTGACCAGACGTTGGTCATGGTCCTTCCCGCCTCAGTTGGAGACCTCCATGCTTTCGTTGAACATGGTGGAACCCTCGTCCCGGCTTTCAAGCAGAAAGCTCCAGCTTCCACAGTCGTGGGCTGGGTATTCTAGCCAGATGACACCATTGGATCCCTACCCAGTCAGTGGATAATCCTGTGATCATCCTTGGCTTGGGCGCGATTGGTTTCCCCACTAAAGGCGATCACCGATGGAAAGTTTGGTCGTGAAACCGGGGGCTCGGTGCGTCAAAAAAAAAAACAAGAAGCAAGAAAGCACACCAAAAACACACCAATCACTGCGTGAACCGACAGTGCCTTTCTTCTCGCCTCCCGGAGCGACGCTGTGAAGGTTCGTTTCGGCAGTGACCTGAGGCTTCTCGTCCGAGCGTATGAACGACGAGGTGCTCAGCTCGCTTCTGCTGCGCGGCGGATGGGTCTTGCGGCGCGGAGACGAAGACAGGTACGGAGACTGGATCGCAGGATTGGTTTAGAGATGTTTGGTATTAGTATGTATTAGTATATATATATATATATTAGTATAGGTCTAGGTAATTAATTATATAAATAAAGCAGGACATGAAACTTACATATATATATATATCGATTACATGTCATGTATATATATATATACAATAATATACACATAATTTCGTAGGATTGCCCATGATGGCATGCCGAGACCTCCCAGGCGACCAGAAGAAGGAGAATCGACCAGTGGAAAAACTCCCTATAGTCTATACACATCTATACACCCATGTCGCAGAAAGTGCACGGGATCGCCGGATGGCTTAAAACAAAGCCGAATCCGAGGCAGGCCACACCGCCACACCGAGGCAGTACGGGATGCACGATCCACCGACGATCCTGCTGCTGGAGGAACGCCAGAGAAGGGCGGCAGGTGAGACGAAGAACAAAAACCTTGAGAAAGCATCAAACCATACTACGAAAAAGCAAAAAAAAACAACACGCATGTGTATAATTAATTGTATAATGTTGTATAATACCAATAATATATAATTAGATATATTACATTATATATATATATATTTTTGTTCAAAGCTAGCTGCTCGTTTGAAAATTGATGGGTTCCACTGTAAGAGCATGTTGTGACAAATATCCGGGAGGTTCTGAAAGCTTTGAAATTCATCGAGTGCACGGCAGTGCACGGTTGGCACGATTTCTTGAACGAATGCCCTATGGGCCTATGGGCCCTATGTAGAAATCAAGATGTTGAGCTCCACTACAAGACTACAAGCACCCTTTGCCTATAGACAAGGTTTTGTGGAGTGTTGCTTTGAGCAGACTTTGTATACAAAGTTATCAGTTATCACGTACCGTCGCTTGGGAGGTTTTTCAATTGTCAACCAACTCAAAAGAGGCACAAACACTGCAGGCTGCAGGGGCCACAAACAAAGCTTTCCTAGCTTTCAGCTTTGTGAAGAGATGTCTTCCCCAGTTTTGGGATAAGCGTTTTCCTTTTTTTCTTCCCAGCTCTTCAGAGCTTAAGCAAACCCTCCGGAGCCGAGCTCTCTTGTGGAGCTTTGTAGCGACGTGGACCACGCTGCTTCACGAAGGACGTGGACATGCTTCACTCAGCAGTCCTCAACCGCCACTCGGAGAGGAAGAAATCCACGAGCACTTCATTTCAGGATGCAAAACTGTGTGTGCAAAAGGTGTGGAAGTTGTAGACATCTGCTTGCTGCTATATTATTGTTGCTTTATGCTACGTTCACTTGTTGCTCATTGTTGCTCCATAATTTGCTCTACTGTATACTATTACCACGGAGAGCGAGCATTTGTTTGTTCTTCAGCACATCCGCTCGACAAGTTCTGGCAACCAAGCCGTGCAAGATTTGAGCAAAGATCTACCACTGATCGCATCAGATATTTCAGAGATACAACTAGTGGGACATGAACCAGTGGTAGATATTTTGAAACTGGTATAGTATATGGGACCAACTGGTATACGACTGGCATATGTGAGATATTCACAGATATGATACCAACTAGTGGAACGCAGTCCCAACCAGAAACAATGGGATATTTACCCAGTCCCAGCCACTTTCTATCTAAAGGATCGAACAATTGTCGTATTAGGTTCCAACATGTTCCAACCACTTGTTTGGGACTGGGGTTCCAGGTATATTTGATTGATATAGCAGATATTTCACATACCGTATATATGTTTTGACCAGAGTTGTCCACTTTCAGCTGACTGACTCGGAAAAAACCGAGGTCACAAGCCGACGGAGGAGTCAGATTCAGCGACTCGGCCATGGATGGCGCCATGGTGCCATGCGCATGTACTACGTCGTACTCCGTACCATCCCGTACCCATTGGACCCCAATGGCTGGGTCGTACCCATCGACACCGCCCTCCGCTGGGTAGAGCTGGTCTATGTTCCGAACTTGGAAAGGGGGTCAGAACGCCTGGGGTCGGTCTCCCTGTTGGACATGCACACCCTGACTGTACAGGTTGCACAGCACCACAGATGCTCAGGGATCCTAGAAGCGCTACTTGATGCTACTTTGCCTCATACTTTGCTAGCAGTAGCGCACCAGTAGCTGTAGGGATCTTGGATTTGATGTTGACTAATAATGTGTTTTGTACGACAGCTGTTGTGGTTTCAGAGTTCATGCCGCAACCCGGTTTGCTCTTCATCCACCATCCACCATGCTACTTGATTTGTGCGCGGTACTTAACGGTATTGTGAGACTTCTTACCATCAGCCCCAAGCTTGGAGGAGCATCTATCCATCTCTCCGGAAGTGGCCAAGAAAGAGCGAACGGTGCAAGGTCTCCGAGTGGTGGGTCTTTGGCTGCTTCTACAGGCTTCAAAGGTGATGTACCCACCAGCTTGAGGATCGGCTCGGCTGGCTACATGCTACATATCCTACACTCCTTCCTGGTTCCTGGGCCTAGCTGCACTGAGGATCAAGAGTCCGAGAAGCGGAATAAACGACGAGGAGATACCCGCTGATACCCTGTGGACGAAGTCTTCGGAAGGGTCGAAGCAGGAGTTTCTCTCTTTTGGGGGTTGGCCCGGCCACTCAGATTCAATGAGACTTTCATGATTCAGCCAATCCATGTGCTTTTTCAGAACGCAGTGTATGTCCCCAACGAGGAAGTTGTTCCATGTCCGCCAGGACGGCTGACGCTTTCGTGCTTGCTGAATGCCTTAGTGCCCCGCCATGTTCCAGCAAGAGTCGAGGTTGGAACATGCGGATCTCCTGTCAGAGTACAGAAAACCACAATAGAAAGTCCATTCAATCCCTATCTTGAATGTTCAATGTCACTTTTTGTGCTTGGGGTGGGTGTATAACAGCGACAGCAGAGTTTTACAGCAACTTCAAATAGCACCGTTTATACGTATAATTTGGAACATAATGCAGGTGCTGGCCATGCCTTTGCCATTTCCATTTTCAGTTTGGACGATTTCGGTTCAAACACCTTGAGCAAAAATCTTGTTCGCTTTGACTTTTGAAGGTGAAAGTATGTGAAAGCAAGGATTGTTTGGATAGTGAATATCATTGAATATCTGAATTGTAATGGTGAATCCATAGTAAGCAGTAAGCAGTGAGTGTCGGATGGTGTGACAGAGGCGCCCTGCCGGGGGGGACTGTCAGCGGCCAATGGGAAAACAGTTGAGGATGGGCCGACAGCAACCACCGGGCGCTTGCTGTTCATGACGACCAACAACCGAGGCGGCATGGGATCTCAAAGGTGTTGCTTGTGGTGTTTAAGGTGTTGTTGTACTTTTCTTTCTAAGTCTATTGGGGCTTGGTTTATATACGCTTGTAGATAGGTCCCCAAGGAGGTGGCATGGGCAGCCGGGTAAGCAATCGCACAAGGCGACAGGACCGGAGCGTCGGTATATACATCTCACCTGGAGACAGGAACCGGGTCATGTGGTTTGGAACAGGCGCTGTGATACCAGCCAACCAAAACGGAAGAATACCGAAAAGGAAGCCTCAAAGAGAAAATGACATGAAACATATGAAACGTCAAAGCAAACGGCAAGGAAGGAACGAAGAAAAAGGATGAACGAAGGAACGGGTGCATGAACGAAGAATATTCCGGAAGGCAGGCCATTTGGCCGAACGGGGGGGGCCGGGCATTTGGACGATGTATCGCATCACCGGCCGCAGATGCCTTGGATCCAGCTTTGCTGCGTAGCGGGCGCATCGATTACGAGCTTGGGCGGCAGTGGCGTCAGACGTGTGATGGACTGGGCCACGCCGCTTCCACGGCGTTGGCCTTTGTGGCCTTGCGGTATAATTTGGGGAGATTTAGGGTTGGTATGGGTTGGTAACACCCTTCTTCTCTGAAGCGGAGGGCATGTGAATTGAGGCCTTGCCATACTCTATTTGTAGCTGTAATGCATGGCTAAGCATGGCTCAGCTACATGTCTAGACGTCGTGCATCAGGGCCATCAGACTAGGGTATGCGTCTTGGTGCTTGAGCCACTGGTTCGCTCACAGGGTGTGGACTTCGCGTTCCGTCCATCTGAGGAGCTTGAGTTCAAGCCTGCGGCGTCCGAACAAATCTGCCGACTCTTCCTTCGGCCTCTAGGCAATGAATGCGGGGACCTGCAGGTAGGCATGGCATTTGTAGGTAGGCACTGCGAAGTGCTGGTAGCGAGGCTGGTCCATGGCTTTGGCCCTGCTTTTGGCCGGATAGAGCTAGTGAAAAAGCAACATTGCTGCGTGGATGAGAGACACATCACATCGGATCACCGCTCCACATTGACCGAAGCCTATTTGTTTTATGTCAGTTCTGTGGGGACGCCATGGGCAATTCTGTGGCGTACACACAGCAGGACCTGGAGGCAGAGAGGATTAGGGCGAGAGCCCAGTTTGAACAGCGGCTACATTGAAGTTGATGGAGCCACCACGGACCCCATCAACGAACAGTTGGCCGCATACCTGCAGCAGACGTGCGCCAGCCCACGCGTCGCGGCGAACCCCGCCTACTCCGACATGAAGTTCCAAGCCTCCTTTTCCATCCCTGCATTCAGCTTCACCAACACGAATTCGGGTGACAACAACATGGTCTCCGGAGCAGCCAAGATCATGAATTTCATGGCCCCTCTTGGATGGTCCTGGGCAACACCGAGAGCGCTTCTTGCTCTTCCGGAAGGACACCATGGGCTTCCATGACCACATTGCCGTGGACCTTACGAGAGGGTTCAATAGTTTGGGCCAATGACTTCTAGCAAAGAAATTGGTGGCTTCCCTCATGAGAAAGACGGGACAGCCCCATGAGCTGTTTGTTTTTCAACTTTGACATGGGACTAGTGACTAGTTGCGATGTGCAGTCTTTGTTTAGGCAATCCTCGCCTTGATCTACGGGGCGGATCTACTTGAATGGTGCCCCAGAGGGTGTGCAGATAGCTGCCCAGCAAGGGTTGTCAAGCTATCAACACAGAGAACCTGTGTGATGCACAATACTCTACCCCAGGAGGGGTTTACTTTGTCGATGAAACAACAACCAACCTCAGCAAGCGCACGATGGAGATCACCGACGCCTTAGGGCTGGATCTTGCGGAGTTGCAGTGGCATGCACCACACTCATGGAAGTGGTGTTCACAAGCATGAGCAGCACTTGGGCTGTTGTAATAACCCCGCGCTCAGCGGTTTAATATTGGCATGCACCTTAACACTACTAATGCATTCCTACCCCAGAAAACGATAAGAGTATATAAAAAAACGATAACAATGATCATACCTGCACATTCAGAACACAAAGCTACTAGGGGTTCCTGCCTTACTACTAGGAACAAGAAGCTGCTAGGGACTCCTGGCCTTACTACTAGGAACAAGAAGCTACTAGGGACTCCTGGCCTTACTACTAAGAACAATAACAAAAAGCTACTAGGGACTCCTTCCTTGCCTTACTACAAAGCAACATCGCTACCAGGAACAAGAAGCTCTTAGGGGCTCCTGGCCTTACTACTAGGAACTGAATGGGCTGTTTGGTCCATATGCTGCAGCTGTTTACATGAACCACGAAAATGGCAACCTGCAGAGGTGTCCGGAACGATAACAAAACGAGAACGAAAACGATAAGGACATGTAGCAAAAAGCAGCCCTGGTGAGCAAGTACCCATTTGACTGTTTTCGTTAGACCTTTTGAAGGGCAGAAGTGTGCGATGTGGTAGTCTTGTTTAGCTGTCTATATTATATATATATATTATATATATATATCTGATCTTTGCTGCTGCCATGTCTTTACCACCAAAGACGGTGTACGCCTTGGTACAGGCAGTGCTACGGGATCCTGAAGTAGGACCGTGTAGACCACCAAAGGACATCTTTTGATTTGTGATCTTCCACCAAAGATGCTTTCACCTGAGAAAACGTAAGAGTAGAAAAAATCGATAACGTGGCTTCGAGGTATTGCAAAAGACACGGGGTTTTTACAACACCCCACTTGGTCTTCGCCCGCGATCCAGGGCAGCACGCGCCCGTGCCGTACGCACCAACGCTGGCTGTGGATTTCAGAGTGATCCCTCTTACTTTGAAAAGAGACTACACGTGTGTGGTGCAAGTTTCAGGGCAGAACACGAACAGCATCTATGAGAAGCTCCTTGCGCACCTGCACCAGACTATGCTATGTGAGAAACGAGGGCAACAAAGCCAGTGTGATCTCTTTCTCAAGTGCAATGCCCTACGTGTGAGTGGAGCGAAGTTGCAAGGTGAATGCAATTTTGGTCGTTTCAGCACGATCTTGTGTGATTTCATGGCAGATCACCTCAAAGAGTGGGCGCTTCCATGAGTCGTGTGGGCGAGTTGGGCGATTCCATTCGATGTTTCACTTCGGGGAGGAGGTGACAACCAGCAATACTGCAGCCTATTGGCACGGTAACAGCCGCAACAGCTCTTGATTTTCAGGCCCGACTCACCAGTGCCGCTGCACACGGGTCCCGCAGAGGTGAACCGGTCACAGGTTGCGGTTGCATGATGGTCGTTCTCATAGGTATCAATGCCGCGGTACTTCGACATGTCCCGCGAGGTTTGCATGTGTTTTGTGCCAGGCCATGAAGTTTGGCAAACCTGAGTGGTCTACTGCTGCTGAGCGGCTGTTGTGCCAACACATGTGCAAATTGACGCGAACCAGAGTTCAGTTCTATGGACCTCAAACCTCGAGACCTGCAGAGCCTGCATGTGTCCCAAGGTTCTACTCCGACTTCAGCCGAGCGAACCACATGGATCCCGCGAAGCAAGGCCTGGCCGGTGTTTTGTTCGATCGTCCGTCTGCTTTTTCGGAGGATCGGGTGGATCCAACGGTGAACGAGTGGGATCCCAAACGACCATTCGATCCCCTCGTCATTGAATCATTGAGCAGCTGTGAAGCAACATGAACCAAGCATGTTTGGTTGCTAGTAGGTTGGAGGCCATTGCTAGTCCACCCATCATTTCGGATGCCAACAGCTGGGCTCCAAAAGTGTTCATGGATTTTCATGTGGAGCACATCCAAAATGATCAGTTGTTGTTGTTGTTGTTGTTCTTTTTTTAATGGGGCATATGGGGCGCTAGTCGCTAGCGGCTGGGCGGCTGGACGTGAAATGCCCAATCCTAAATCATACACTCTGACTCAAACCATAAGTACCTTAATCTTTGTCCCTTTTCACTTCCAGGAAATGGTGAGCTGAAGCTGAAGGCGGAACGCTTCGTGCAGCGCTTGGAGGAGCGGAACAAAAAAAACGAGTTCGCCGGAGGATCGGTGTGGTCGACTTCGTGATTGGCGTCGTCGCAAGTGAACCGGCGGACCTGTTTGGTTCAACGGAGTTCACCGTCCTTGGTCGTGATTTTTGGTGCTGCCGGCCAATTGATGCCGTTTGGCCTCAGGATGGCGCATGATCAGGGTGTGAGAACGTGTCAACATGCAGTTGGTGTTGATGCTGTTGCTGTAGTCTTGCTGCAAATGACAGCCCTCGGCCTCGGCCCACCCTACTGTAGGACTCCCATACCACTGGGAGGGTTGCCGGAAAGTGGCGAAAGCTTTGGGCAAGCAGGGTGCCATTGGCCACGGCAGTGAGTCACCGCATTCGGTCATAGGGCTTCACTTGCTCTGACACTCTTGGACTAAGAAGCCCACTCAAAACAGAAGCCCGACCGCCATGAGAACCACACATGTTTGATTGCCTGGAATGCTGATCCAATGGTGGAGAATGGGATTGCTAGATACAGGACAATTACACAACTGGCCAGACCAGACTGAATCAGAATGTGTTCAGTGTCTTTTCTAGTTCGCTGGAACTTGAACATAGCCCCCACTCACCTCCGCCTCTGTGATGTAATCCTAAGAATATCCCCAGGAGCTGATGGTTTTGATGTTTTCGCCGGAGCGAAGTCCGAAGAGTCGTGACACGAAGAGTCGGACCACCGCAGAGACGTCCCGCTTGGACCGAGACCGGAGGAGTCAGGTCGGAAGTTGACCACCGCAGACATCCAGAGGCGTGCGCAACGATGGTTACCGATGGGTACTGTACACATTGGCCGCCAGTTGTGGAGATGGTAGCTGATGTTTTTTAGATGCTGAAGATCATGGAATTGACCGAGTTTTGGGGCTAGAACTGGAGTGTGGCATGATAGTCGGGTAAACCAGAAGCGGTCGTGTTAGAAGGCCTTGCGTGCCAAGGTGAGTGTTGCAGTGACCCACTGCCAACAGTTTTATATAGAAGCATTTGATGGGAACAGCAATCATTCGTCTTCCAGGAATTTTGTACACTGTCCATTTTGAGTATGGAATGGTGAGGCGACTTGAGTCAGCTACGAACAGGAAACATAGCAGATGTCATCAGACCAGTGGACACGGAAGTTTATCAAACCAACCAAAGAATTGTTGGAAGAGAAAGTCGCTGTGAGGTGCTACCAAATAAAATATGTTGCGATATAAGGTTTGCCTTTTGAATGTTTCCAAGTATAAGGTCAAAGGTTTGTTGTTGCGGGAGAGTTTATTGTTGCAAGGAACACGTTTTCGCCAGGAATTTACTAGATTTAGATGGAGTAATTATTGCGGTGTGAGCATTATGTGTAATGATATTGAACATCTCAGGGATACAGCCAATGAAAGGCATCAACTGTAACAAGCGTCGTGGGTAAGTCTAGGAGTGTTGTATAGTGCGTACTTGGCGAACTAATAATAAGACCCGCCATTCTCCCCTTCCAAGTGTTACATACAGCTTCGGAAGCACAGCAGAACTGTATCTATCCACGCAACTACCCATTCTACAATTGCAACAAGTGCTTCCCCAGTTTTTGGTCAAGGATCCTCAAAGCCCCGGCAGAAGGGTATTCAAAGCCTGAACTTCACAAGGTTTGATCATTTTTGATCCTCCCAGTATGACCCTGTTGACCCGCACATTTGTTTTTTTTAACATACCGTATGTGCATTGGCTAGCAAGTGGTGCAGAACCGAGAAAGAGACTGCAGAACCAACATAGGGACTTGTGTGAAAGCCCTGCCAACCTGGTCCACCTGGGGCTTACTGAAGCTTTCTTCCGGGACCTCAATAAGCCGTGGTGGGTGAAGCATCAGGAAGCCATGCCATGCCTCATGTAGACGAAAAAAATACCCGTGAACTCATGCGCGTGGAAGAACCGAAGAGGGTGCCTGCCATGCGCCGATCTGCGACGCGCCAGGCATTTGATGAAGCGGAAGAAGAGTCCCGAGCGTGCCGTGCAGGAGGTGCAGGAGCTGTAGGGAGCCTCAGGAATCGAGGGAGTGCCGGTGGATGGCTCATGATGGCTCTATTCAACGAGTCGTTTCTCATTTTTGGAACAAGCGAAAGTCTCAAGGACCAAGTGCCGAAGGTTTGTATATTCTTTGGGAGGGACCAGTCAGTAATTTACTTGTTTTGTTTGATTCTCCAAGAAGAGATCGGTGTTACCGGGGTCTCGGACTGGTTCGCGTGCCACACGCGGGTCGGCTGGTTCGTCGCGCAGTTCGCCGCGCCTTTCGTGAGCCCAACGAGAAAGCTTTTCGAGGAGAACTTGGCATGACTCACTCGTCAGGAAGCCTAAAGTAGGGTCATCCAGCCAATTCAGGAGAAGGACTTGAATAGATCCGTATAAATCCCAACGACCCCAGTGACCCGTTGCCGACAAGAGAACATCGAGAACAGTCGGCTGGTTGCGAAAAGGGGAAGACCCAGCAACTATACCCCCCGCCGTGGTTTTCACAGCTCGTAGAATTCCTTTTCTGCTCAAGATCGCGTTAAGAAACCACAGCTTCTGACCCCGTGTGTGTCGTAACATATATGTCATATGTGATCATACAGTCATAGAGTCATAGATGTATGTGTAGTTCATCCTTAACTGATATGTTGAAGAGTTTCAACAGAAAAAAGTCACCAACGGCAAGAGTTTCAACATGGCTGTGGGGAGACTGGCACCAGGGGACCGACTGGTGGACCAAACATGAACAGACGACCGGAGGTCAACCTTACTAGGGTGAGTTCGGGGCTTTGAGGATTGACGCCCGGCCGGACGGCCCGCCGTCTCACCGGCCGTCTCACCCTTCGGCTTCGGCCCAGGATCGACGCCTTTGCAGATGAGCCGACCGCGCCACGCCCGGAGAAGGAGCCCGGGGGACTGGAGCGCTGACCGGTGATTCGACCACCGACCCGAGCGATCCAACGCCCTTTCTGCAGAGGATCCCGACAACATGGATCCCTGATGATCCTAAGGTGATTCTACCACCCAGTGGTTTTCAGGGTCCATGTTAATTTGCGGAGGGTACAGTGACAGATAGATACTTAGAACATCATAGAACCAAATGTGGAAAAAATGAACAACATGTGTTTCAACAGCGGAACCGGTTCTAAGTGCATACGCATAGAACCAACACACTCGACTTCGATTCAATATCCCCAGGAACACTTGGAACCAAAGCAAGGATGAAACTACAAGTTCCTCATGGGGACTCCGTGACAGTAACTGTAACTTATTATTCAGGAGTGCAATGGAAAAGGAGATCGAGCCCGAGTCTTCTTCCCCAGCTGTATCGCACGTCATTCTTCTCAAACCCATGTTGATATTGAAGCGACAGACACATACTTACGAACCAATGGCTTTCACGGGTTCTAAGTTCGAATTCTGCTGTTGTTTTTCATTGGTTCTAAGTATCACTTGGCCAACTTGGGTTCTAAGTATATAAGCGGTCCGGTTCGTTTGGAAGTATGTGTTTGTCACTATGTAACTATGTATGTGATATCGTTTGGGGGTGTAGGGGTCACTCATGGCGCCGATTCGAAGCACATGAGTCGGGCAACGTCCGGCTGAGCAACACCTGGCGCCCAGTGTCCGGCCCAGTGTCTCCTGGTTTTGACACATGGCCGTGGGGAATCGCAGACTTGTCAATCAGTGCAAGCTTCCGGTCGAATCCAGCGGGTCCTCCTCTATCCGATCCGACCCGGTCGGGTCGAGAAGACTTCGACTCCCGAAGCTAGAGTTCCTTGGACTCCCGAAGTTGTTGGTTCAATGTCCTTGGGCCAGTTCGTTTGGTCTAAATAAAGAACGCCAGGTGTTACTGTACCACGAAGTGTGTGTGGGTGTCATAATGTCAGAACCAACATACCCAACGCAGAGGGTTCGAAGAGCGCGTCCGTGTCAACGATTCGTGCGACGTGACGCTTTGCATCGTTGGTGCATGGGTTTGCCAGTGTTGACCACAAAGGGCTTTGACATGCTTTGACCCTATACACATTCTTTCAGAAGTCCTTCGCTTTGGCCAGGACAAAAATACGGCGCAGGCCGCGTGAGTGCGGGTGCGCAGATTGGATGCAGAGCTGCCGCAGTATTGTACATAGATTAGCGGAGCTTCGACTGAAGTTGGAGGCAGTCAATACGCGCCAGTGGATGTAGACTGCAGGGCTAGATGATTCGGAAAGCATGAGTGATGCGTTTTTTGTTCACGGTTCAGGATCACTCACTCGGCAAATTTGAGGTGCTTCACTGGGGGTTGCAGACCGTACAGCCTGACGCGCGGCTTTCTCAGTCGAAGCGAGCGCCATGCCCGGCGGTGGGACCAAAACGGGGAGATCTGAGCCCTCCATTGCGGTGCTAGTGCCTTTGGAGCGGAGTAGCCTACATGTGAGCCTACACACTAGGTTACTGGTAAGAGTCACAACCGTAGAAGAGTGCTACATGTGCCATGTCTCAGGGTGTTCGTTGTTACATGTGTAACCCTGCTAGGTGCTTCCTTGGTCAAGGAAGGAGGGAGAGAGAGAGAGAGAGTTTGGCAGAGTGTATTCTCTTCCCAGTATCCGGTGGTTTCCATGTTTGACCAAGTCTCAGTGGACAAATGTTGCTGGGTGTTGAAGCCCCACATGGACTGAACGATGGTGATACTTTTGTGATTCTTGCATTCGAGGATGTTCGCCGGGAACAAGGAGGAATGTACTGTTGTTTGTTGATTCTTTTTCTCAGCAGCATGTTGATTGGACTCTCACAATGTTGAGGCACCGGAAGTTGCAACTCTTTGGCAGTGATGCCACCGGTGGCTGTTTGTCCTCTTGGTTGGTTGGACACGTGAACGGTCCCATCTATCGACCCATCCTTATCGGGGTGATGCATGCTGTGATGCAATGCTCCTGGTGGCTTTTGCTGTTCGCTTCGCGTTATGTCGTATCTTTTATTGACAGCAGAGCTGAAGGAGAGAATAGGACAGAGCTTTTGGAAGTTTGATGAAGCCTGAATTGTTCCTTTTCAGGAGAAGACCCGTTCCCAGATCATGCTTCAATTACAGCGTTATAGAGTCTTTCACTTGATAGACGCAGTACATTGCAGCATCAAACCAGATTTGTAAGGTTAATAATACCATATAATACCCCTTCCTCTTTTTAAATGAGCTTCCACCCTAGCCGGTTTGGAATTTCCTTCAAGGTGTCCTTGGCGCGTCAGGAACTTTAATACACAAAATCAGGACATGTGGGAGTTCTCCAAGAGGACTTGATCACAACTGTTTCCTTCTTCCAAGTGCCATTTTGCCGAAGTCCTCCACTCACCCCAGTACATAGACAAAACAAAAGCCGACCCATCCCACATTCGCCGCATGATTTGCTGCGCTGGGGCACGATGCAGTTGGAGATTGTCGCACCACTGCTGCAGTGAAAGGTTTCATCTCCTGAAGCTTCCTTGATGTGTTTTCATCCTTCCAACATGGGGTTGGGACGTCCACCGCCACCGGTTTCTTTTGGGGGGAGGCGCCTCGTGAACGGTCGCCCTCCGTCCGAGTCCAGCGGAACGACTCAAGAGGCCTCTGAGTCTGAGATCCACTGGAGTCAAACGACTTGGAGTATCTGGGGTTTATGTGGGCACATCTGATCATCCCACGGGTTTGACAAATTCAGACCATGTAGACACTTGGACCACTGTCATTGGCATCCACTGTCATCCTGCTTTCGTCGATTCGGCCGGGCTCTGGTGGCGGTTTGAGGTCTCAGTACAACACATAAAACTGTAAAACAGAAAAGATGTGAGGTGAGGTTCCACCGCCACTACTACTGCTGACTAAATAATCAAGTCGTGCTTCCGCCTCAATAACAAAGGTCACTATCTTGGGACCCAACTTGATCAAGGCGAGTTTGGAAGTTTGGAAGTCCAAACGCTCATGGCCTTCCAGTTTTGGAGATGTTGGACGTTGGACATACCCGTTTCACCTGGTGGTGATCACGTGGGGATCACCTTCCTAAGGGTGATGCAACTTCTTCACTTCCAGGTCCACGGCGACGTCATCATAAGGTTTATCTATACATAGGGTGTGTTCCATTACGAGTGACAGTGGGCAAAAAGGGTATCACTATTCTGGGGCAGTGCATTTAATTACTTTATATTACTAGAACCATCTATGACCCCCCAATCATACTAATCGTTGCTAACCACCATCATCCACTGGGCCCCAAAAAGCCGTACCTCTCTCGCGCTCCTCTTCCGTCGACCGTGGGGTATGGTTTCGCAAACGAGGAGACGAACGCGTAGCTGGGAATGGTGCAGCTTGTAGCTGGTGAAGTCCACCTCGATTTCAGGCAGTGTTTTTGTTGAAAGGGGAACACCGAAAAGCACCGAGCCGAATGCCTCGAACTGTGAAACCCGCAGCAGGATGGGACCGTTTGGGAGTGACTTACAGTATAAGTGACTTGTTTTGGTGCGGAGATCACCCAAACAGCTCGCCAAAACGGGAGATCACCCGCCCAGGTCCAAAAAGCTGTGAGACTGAAGCATGATGGGCGACATTGCGTGGAGTTCCTTCTGGATGGCCACGGACCTGTGCGATTCGCTTCAGGAGGTTTTTCTATTTCGCTTCAGAAAAGCCGCAAACGTGAGAGACATCGGGTTCTAGAGACAGCAGCTGATTTTGGGTGGGCCTTGTTTCTAGAGTTTCTAGAGATGCTGAAAGGGGCTGAAGCCAGAGCTCACAGGAATCCTGCACCTGGAAGTCATGGGAATCATGATTTCTGCACCGCCTGTGGGGTCTCCCTACCATTTTCCTGCAGTCACACGACATTCTCATCTTGGGGTGGGGTACCCCTACCTGCGGTTTTGGGTCATGAAAAAAGGTAGACGGTAAAAGTGGAAAACATCACAGCTGAAACATGAAACGTATATACTCTCAACTCTGCAATTTTTGTGTTCCCAATGACTTAGGAGTAGTGGGCCACAACTACTGTGTCACTGGCCCACACAAGTCCTAAGTCACCGGTCGGTAGTATACTGAAAAATTCAAGAACATTTGGCTGATCAGCCAGACTGTCCATAGAGGTCAACGACCGAACTCAGCCTGTTCAGTGAGATTGTTCAACTTGCCAACGACCAATCGGGGGTTCGGAAGTGTCAGGGCATGAACGAGCTGAAAGATAACTGAATGGGATTCGTGCAGCTTCACCAGCAAATATCATGCTTTACCTCGGACAGGACTTTGCTCTCACCGCTTTGGTGCCTTTGTGTCCGACTTTCAATTACCAACCAAGCTATAGTCGGATCTTAAGAGATTGAGCACCCGATCAATGAATCAAGGGGTCTTCTACCACCTGAAAATAAAACATGAAGAACAATAGAATAGAAGCTTTAAAGAGCTACAGCGGTTTCAGACTACAGTAGATGACACAACCCCACAAGATGTCTTTCAGATGGGGGTCCACATAAACCCTCTTTCGGGGATTGTGCCATCTACTCTCAATCCACTATACAGCTTTGCAGATGAACAGAGCTTTCTATGATTTTCCATGAGTTCACCTCGTGACTTATCTGCAGGACTTCAAAGGAAACTTGCTATCCACAGGTCGTAAAACTTCACGATGTTTGGTGGGTCTAACGAGCAAATCGCAGCAGGTGGAAACACACGCCGGGGAGTCAAAGTCGCCATAGTCAGCACTCAGGTCGCAGTCAGTTCGCAGTCAGCGTCAGACCCAATGGTCATATTTATCATCGTCACCTGCATGGGGAAGGACCGGTACTCGCACCTTTCTTCGCTTTGCAAGGTCCTGAGCGGACACCATGGGTGGATGATTTGTATGACACCACAGGGCGGATCGTCGAGCCCAAGAACTTCAAGAACATCAAGTGCCTGAGCTGCAGCGCACCGAGTCTCTTTTGGTTAGGTTGCAATTTGCTTCAAGGTTAGGAACTGATCATATCTCCTGGTAGTAATACATATTGTCCCATCTCCAGCCCTTGCCGGCTTTGCCGCTTCCTCCATGGGAGCCACTTCCCTTTGGGTAAATCCCCCATGGAATAAGTGGTTTCCCCGGTTCCTGGACATCAAATCCAAGGTCATGACATGTCATGACCAAGTTTGCCCCTGGGAAGCTTCGCCACGTTTTTGTTTCTCTCGTCGAAGGTGGATCCAGCTCGAAGGTGCACGGACTCGTGTTGGATGCCAAAATCGACGGGCGATGAACTGCGATGATGTTTTCTTCACAAATGGAAGCAAGATGTTGGAATCCTGATATGGCCCCACCAGACAGGTTCTTCATTGCAACTACCTTTAGCAACTGAATACATCAACATGCCGTTTGGAAGATTCCGTCTCAGTTTTCTTTTAGAATCGTTCCTAGAGCCCCAAAACCCTCCCCGGTCCCCCGGCCTCTGTCCGAGCCAAGAAGACTTGGACGTCGGTCCCGAGGAGAACGATCCAGCTCAAAGGGTCCTCCGCCAGCCTGGAAGGCCTTCCGATGAGAGAGATGGATGAGAGATGATGGATCTTTCAGAAAGCTGGGACAGACACGACTAATGGGACTGACATGGAATGACATATTTAACATTAATTAAATGGGGTGGTTGTTTCAGGGGTCAATGTAGGCATATACAAATATACCAGTCCCATGGAGTGTGAATAGCTCGGAGAAATCCATGCAATCAAACCAGGCCCGGAAGGCCTTCCCAATGCGACACATAGCCACGTGTGAGACGGTCTGAGACGGTCTTAGCGTTGGCAGTGCTTCGGTCTGTCCGTCCGCTCCCCAAACATCAGAAGACACATGAAAAACAACACAAGACCTGTGCCAGGGTGTTTTCTTGCAAACACGGATGTCTTGCCCATCCGGAACTCGATGTTTTGCGCGGCAAGTCTTGGGCAGACCAGGGGGTGCCAACCTCTTGACTGAAGGCCTGGGTAACCATCCTGGTGAAATGGACATACGCTCCCTGAAATAATCCATGATACCCGTCTGGAAGTCCATACTTTTTTCCCAGACGTCAGGGACATTTTATTATTATGATTTTTTCTCGCACCGAACCTCAGTCACAGGATTCCAAAAAAAAC